TCTACCTTAACCAAAATCAAAGTAGACTATCACTCACCCACACCAGATGGAAAACTCTACAGACTGTCGGTTCACACCCCATCACAAGCCAGCAAAACATCCATGAAACAAAGAAAGGTCTGTCACAGCCAAAAAATACACTCCACACACGCCGCATATATATTTCGGTTTTTGATTTTTAACTCGCGATTGGCTACGAATTTGAACATGACTCCAAGGCAAAAGTTGCTTGTATTGTTATTCTACATAACATATATTTTTCCCAGATTTATTTGAGAACATTTTTAATTTTTATTATTTTTCTTATTTTTTATGTTCGCGTTCGGAGGTTTTTGGGCGCTTGTTCGCGTTCGGGCGAACATGTTCGCGTTCGCCTCAGAACGAGAACACAGTTCTACGTAGATATGAACTAATAATAATTTTTGATAAACAGACCATGGGTTTGAGGCCCAACCCGATACGGTAATGCTTGAAGCTTAGCCGACCCCTTTTCCTTAAAACAAAAAAAAGAAAAAAGAAAAAAGGAAAAGGAAAAGAAAAAAGAAAAAGAAAAGAAACGCCTAACAACTTAAGTGGCCCCAGCCTGTCCACTCGCACAGCCTACCTGGCCCATAATGCTGTAGATAAGACCCTTGGAGAGGTGAGGCCTGAAGTCCTTTGCATCTTGCTCTATGATCTCATTGTACAGCTGCATTGCTGCCTCCATGTTACCCTGATCCACCAACCAGAAACAACAGAGATAGAGAGAGAAGGAAACATGAGGTGAGAAGAAAGGACATGGCTCAGTCATCCATCATACAACTCCCCTGAAAAGCACTGGTGCTACAGCACACCCTGGAAAAGAAAGCTTTTCTATGGCAGAAGTACCGTCTTCATCCTAATACAACATACCCTCATCATGAATCTATACAAGCTATCTTTTCCAGTCCGATCCAGTCACGATAAGGATACGTTGTGTTCGGGGGGGGAAAGTACCCACCACATCCACCCAGACACCAGGATGAACTCCTCCCCCCCCTCCCCCTCCCCCTCCCTTTCCTGCACAAGGATGGCTCACACAAATGTATAAGTGCTGCCGATAGAATTCTTAAGAAAAAAGAAGAAAAGGAAGACAGAGAAGGGGTGAAGGGGAGCGGGGAGGGAAGGAGGGAATTCATCACCATGACAATGCCATACCTGAACAGTATGCACCTGGCCTAGAAGCATTTTCAAGTTCGTTACGTCCTTACTGCGACTGTTTTCCTCTGCTTGCTGCACATAGTCAAAAGCAAGCGCACAGCACACGATATCATTCACCAGCAGTGTCCATTGTACATAGCGAGTATTCATGCATTCATGTATCTATCGTACATCCAAAGCACTCTCAAACTCTTTCTTTTGAAAAGAGGTCTATGTCTAAAACTATTGCAGTAAGAATGATGAGAGAGAGAGAGAGAGAGAGAGAGGGAGGGAGGGAGAACGTCCAATGCTGTGCACACCCTGTGGGTTCCTATCCTTGGTAACTGTGTCAGCTTTTGGGTCGAAATAAGAATCATGCAAGTGGGCTGGACCACGATTGGTCATCCTAAGCGTCTGTCCAAAACGCCACCATGTTTTAGACAGAGGGTTCGTGAAGTCAACCGAAATGAAATGACTCGATCAATTCTTAAGTTGTGGCCGACGTTAAGCCACCAGTACATTTCCCAGCCATTTTTTCAAAGTCGCGGCGTGCATGCAGCCGCAACTTTCGGGGCTCAGCCTCTGGAGCAAAATGGCTGGCGCCGCCAGACAAAAGGAGGCCTGCTCCGGTTATTTGAGTTTTTGGCACACAGGGCGTTTCCAGCACCGGAGAAAAGTGCCTCGGAACTGGTGAAACGGTATTCACCAGTTCGCAGTAGCCGATGCAGATCCCAGGGCTCGATCCCTAGTCCCCACCTTACCTGTGTACAGTATCTGTGTCAACCCTAGAGTTGAACCCGTGACCTGTGTATTTGTAACAGTTGGTAGTTGTCGTAGGGTCTGTAGGTAGCAGGGGTTCGATCTGTAGATCTGTCAAGTAGAAGTCTAAGGGGGTTCTAGAAGTCGTAGCTGCTACAGTCCTGAAGGGTCAAGGTCGTAGCTGCTACAGTCTTCGAAAGGCCAGGACCCAGACTTCTGGAAGGTCCTAGTAGTGGCCTTTCGAAGTTGCTCACGTTTTGGCTGAGGCAAGTGGGCAAGTGCTGAGCCCAACTGCAGTACGTCGGTAGTGCGACCGCATTGAGTTGGCAGTGCAAAACCATGCAGTCAGCAGTACCGGTCCCAGTCAGTCCTAGTCCAGTCAAGCAAGTCCCGCATGGGACTGTGGGCACCACGGGCAAGGGAAAGGGCCAGACCAACGAGCTACAGAAGTATAAATCAAAGGGCAGAGTCCAACCATTCATTCATTCCTGCGTGTGCCATGCGGAAGCGCTGCCACAGCGACTTGTGCCAGGTGGTCTGCAGTGAGCCCGAGGACGAAGTGGGCGTGAGAGAAGGAGCTTAGCCATAGCGATAGGGTAGTAGCGGCCATAGCCGCCATAGCTGTAGATAGTGTGCAGTGTGTGTGTGTGTACATGTACAGAGTATCGCATGTGGGTTATCCAGGGTGATCCTGTGTGTGCGAACAGAGGGTTGTGTGGGCGCTATGTCGCCATAGCCATCGAAGTGAACTTGTATCTGAGTTGCGTTTTTGGTTACCATATCTCTGAGTTCTGTGTGGGCGCCTGACACCAGTTTGCTGCGCATCTGTTTGCATGCATGTAAAGTGTGAATGAAAGCGAGTCTGATTGCACTGGTGGTTTATGAGTTCTCTCTTTTGCATATTCGTAAGTGCACAGCAGAGGCGACCGTTTGAGATGCAAATGTCACCCGTAGCTTTTATATATTCCTCTTTTTTTTTTTAAACATAGGGGGAAGCGTAGCCCCTAACATCATTTTATCTATCTGACTCCATCACGATTCGAGCTCATGGTGTTCATATCATAGTTACGTGTGTACATTCAGCCACATCCGCTGGGCACTCTTAAATATTCCTCCAGAGGGCCACTTCCAGTGATTAAGGGGCTTGCCACACCACTCACAAAAGGTGCCAGAGAATTCCTAGCACCCTCATTTCGTGAGATTTCCGGCCTTCGCCACACAACCCTCTCATGCAGGTCGCTCTTGAGAGTGTCTGCAAAAGGATAGACGACGACATAGGACAGGACAAACCCGCATCCGTCCCAACCTCCGGCAAAATCCAGAAAAGTGGCGGGTGCTTCAAGGGCCGGACAAACGACTCTTGAAATGGAAATCATCGCCGACTGAGTCGAACTGACACAACGCCGCCTTTGAAAAGCCCTCACAAAACTCTTTCTTAGTTGGAGTTTCACGGGCCCGCATTTCATTAGATTTCCGCCCACTGCCACACAACCCTATCGAGCAGGTCGCCCTCACGAGCAGTTGGGAAAGCACAGACGATCTCACAGGAATGGGCAAACCCTCATCCATCCCAACCTCTGGCCAACTCCTTCGTTTCCAGAGGCCTCACGAAACTCTTTCTTCGTCGGAGTTCCGTCAGCCCTCCTTCAGTGAGATCTCTGCCCTTCACCACACAACCTCTCGAGCAGGTCGCTCTCAAAAGTGGCTGAGAAAGGACAGACAAGCTCAGAGGAGCGTACAAACACTCGTCCGTTCCAACCTCTGGACAACTCTAGAAAACTAGCGGGTGCTTCAAGGGGCGGACGGAGGGCTCTTGAAATGGAGATTGTTGCCGGCTGATGCAATGCCACGTTTCAAAAACCTTCTCAAAACTCCTTTTCGGTCAGAGTTTTGTGATGTTCTGCGACGATGCAAAAACTCACGGAAACACACATTTCATGAGTGGTGTGGCAAGGCCCTTAACCGTGCTGCTTATCATAACAGGCTATCAGCTTTTCTCAGGGAAGTTCAATTTGCAACTGCCTTTAAACACAAAGTCATTAGAAAGAGAGGAAAACACCCAACCCCATCAGTTTACGTAACCTTAAAAAGAAAAAAAGAAGAAGATAACCTTACAGTCTTGAGGATAGAGAAGAGGCCCTGCATTTTCAACTCGGTTAAGGGAGCAGGCATCACTGGCAGTGGTTGCACATAGAAGCACAAACCTGGTCATGAAAAATGGCCTGGACCATTGTTTCCATGGTTACGTCGTACCCAACACCGGACCAGTGCAGACGTCCGGCCGGACTTGTGTCTGGACCGCTCCAGACCATCCAGATCGGAAAAAAAAAACAAGAAACAAAAAAAAAAAGAAACGTTTTTATTTTTTTTCCTTGGATTTGCCTACAAATTTCTTTTTTTTTTTCTTTTTTTTTTCTTTTTCATATGTTATACACCAGTGCGAGGATCTGGGTCCTCGGCAGGCCTAAGGGGCCCTGTTATAGAAGTGCCCGCCCTAAGTGAAGGCGGGCCTAACAAATCACGAGAGGCCCTCTGCTGTCAATTTCGTATTTGAGGTCCAGGCAGTTGTGACGCACAAGTTGGTTGAGGAAAACACAGGCCGAGCAGCAAAGACATTTCCACAGCCTACCAGGCCTTTCCAGAAATGCAGGCCCTGGGCAAGAATCGCAGCCTCATACACAGACAGTTGGGAGGCCGAACCGAACGAGGCCCAGCAGCTGTAACAGAGGCACAGCCTCGTGGGGCCTACCGGAAGCTTCTGGGCAGAGGCCCAGGCCAGGCAGGCCGCCGGGGCAGGCAGGCTCTTTTCATATGGGAAAGCCAGGCAGCCGCCGAGCGCCAAATAGGGAGAAGGTCCTGGACTCTTGTGTTGGTAGTTGCGAGAGCAAGCTCTCATTAACATTGGTTTTCAGTGTTACGATTCTCCATGGGTGTCATACTGGTGCAATGCTGCTTTCTGGACACTAATACTTTCTCGCTTTCATTGTGATTGTGCATTCTGGATATTGGCATCTCGCTACTGCTCATTTTCCTTGAAATTTGGTATCGGAGCTGGTTCGAACTGCGCTTCATTGGTTCTTTGCAATAGCTGTTTGGTGCTTTGCACGAGGTATGCAGCAGTGATAAGGCTTGGGCGTTGAACGATTGGTGGCCCAGGGTCGTGTGGGCGGGCCAGGAAGCTATGCGGTGACATAGGGGGTGTACGCTGGTTGATGAGAGCTCGCTGATGTGGCATTTAAGTCGAGGTGGAACTGCATTCTGCTGTTTGTTGTGCCGAGGCAAAGACCGGTCACCATAAATGCACATCAGGTTGCCGGTGAGAAATCTGTGGTTGGGGGCAGCATTATGACGTACGTTGCTCTCTTCCTTACCGACCTTCTTTATTACTACTTACCGCGAGGAAGTGAGTTCTGTCTTGAGAGTCCTCTCAATGTGAGGCGTCGCGAGTGCTCAACATTGAGAGTCGACATTCTTCATGGGCAGCAAGCTGGTGGGAGACGGGCGAAGCCTCTGAAGAGCCCTGGACGAAGCACTTGGGTCATGGTCACCATGCCAACCCGCTGGGACTAGTACACGCATGCTTTCTGCTGCTGCGCAATATAGAGGTCATGCAGGGCATGCCAGCCCTTTGAACAGACGCTTACCAGACCGTCTCTAAATATTTATGGCGGGTCCCGGTGTTGAACCCTGGCTGTGATCGTCGTCCTGTCTGCGACGTTAAATAATTCCTGAGGACCTTGGGGGCTGTCCTTAAACTGCCTCTTGATCAGCCAGATCAAACCGGATTTAAGGCTTGTTGCATGCGAGGGTAAACAACGTGCAGGGGCTGGCAGGTTCGGCATAGACTTGGGGCACAGGGGTTGGCCGGATCGCACACCTTCAGACACGCCGCTCAACCAGATGCTCAGGGCGTTGACACAAAGAGACCACTCAAGAAGGATACAGGGAGAGGGGGGGATTCCGGTAACTGTTCGCCGTTGAACAAATTAGATAAACTGCCATCCAGCATACATCTCCACAGGTAAACTGTTTTATTTTTGATTATTTAGTCGTACGGACTTTGTTGACAACTGACAGACAGCTGCAGATAGGATAGTACATTCCTTGCTGTATTGCATTCTGTATTAGAGTAATCTAAAAATAAAACTAGTGTTACCTGTAGGATCTGACATTGGTTGTCGTTGACCACTTGACCGTTTCTTTCCTGGCTGACCGAATACAGTTGTATATCATACTCGGTTGGGTGTCATGCTGAGGTAGGATTCAGTGTGGATTCTAGTTTAGATCACACACATTGTAGCTCATGTCGTACGGACTGTGTGCAATAGGTGGCA